ACATCTTCAGCTATTTCTTTTCTCAGAGTTTCATAATTCTCTTTATAGAGATTTTTCACATTTTTTGTTAGGTAAATTCCCAGATATTTCATAATCTTTGGTACTACTGTAAAAGTAATAGACTTGACTATATTTTCAGCTTGACTATTGTTGGCATATATAAAAGCTACTGATTTGTAAGTATTGATTTTGTATCCTGAGACACTGCTGTATTCCTTGATGAATTCTAAGAGATTTGTAGTTGAGTCCCTGGGATTTTCCAGGTATAGGATCATATCATCAGGGAAGAGTGAGAGTTTGATCTCTGACCCTATTTGGATACCTTGGATTGCCTTCTCTTGCCTGATTGCAATGGCTAAGATTTCCATTACCATGTTGAATAGCAGTGGGCACTGGGCATCCTTGCCTAGTTCCTGATCTGAGTGGAAATGTTTTCAGTTTTATTCCATTCAATATGATACTGGTTGTGGGCTTGCTATAGATGTCCTGTATCAATTTAAGAAATGTCCCTTCTGTGTCTATTTTCTTAAGTATTCTGATCATGAAAGGATGCTGGATATTCTCAAAAGCTTTTTCTGCATCAGTTGAGAGAATCATATGGTCTTTGATTTTTATTTTATTTATGTGATGTATTATGTTTATAGATTTGCATATGTTGAACCAACCCTGTAACCCTGGAAATAAAACAGCTTGATCATCATCATCCATCCTGATGTTCACGGTCCATACTATGCCCAGATCTCTCAGGAAAGAACCAAACACTGCGCTCTGCAGAGGCAGAACTTCAGACTGCCATGAGAAGGGGTGGACTGGGAGTTTGGAAATATAGAGGAAAATATTTGTTCAATGTTATGCATGGCAAGGTGGTGTCTGAGTTCATAAGTGGGACCTCTCTGGAGAGAGAGGCCCAGTATTTAGTGGCTCTCTCCAGTGAGGTAAAATGAGAGGTCTTTTTTTCCCTGCTCACCCAGGCCTCCCGCTTGGGGGGGGGTCTTCCATCCTCTAGTTGATAGGCGTTGGACGTGTAATTTGTTTTCCTCAATGCTCTTCCTTGGAGTCCCAGTTTGCTGAACTTCTTTTTTGGCTCAGCTCCCCACCTTTGGCTTCATAGAGTCCAATTCTGTCCAGTTTTTCTTCCTCTAGTCAGGAGCCTCTGCCAAGGGTTGCTACTAGTCGGCCATCTTCCTAGAATTCCCACTGGAGAATTCTTATTGGAGAGAAACCTTATAAACATAGTGAATGTGGAAAAGTTTTCAGTCCAAACTCATGCTTAGCAATCATCATAGGCATCATACTGGAAAGAAACCTTAGAAATGTAATGAGTATGGTGTGCTCCTGTTGCAGGAAGATGAGGCCCAATGGCGAGAAAGAGCACCCAAACACCATGTTTATAAGAGGAAGGGCTTTATTCACCAGTGAGGAGCTTACGGCATAGAAGAATTCCAAATGGCTGCGTTCCCCAACTGACTTGGTCTTTCTCTTTTTATCGACAGTCAAAAAGTTCCAACCCATAGGTACCCTTCTTATTGGCCAGTTTGAATCATGTGGGAGGTGCTATTTCAGCCCCTACATCACTATAGGATTTCATAGAACTTGGAAATTTCCAACTTCCAGGAAGTTAAGTTTACAAATTCCCAAGAGCTGTGTCACCATGGAGAGAACCCTGCAGGTGTATCCTTGTGGTCTCCTTGACCTCACTCTTGGGTATCCTCTCTCATTCCATTCTAGAGAAACCTTTAAAATATTATAAGTAGAACATGGCAAGATTTTTTTGTTTGTTTTTTGGCCAGGGCTAGGTTTGAACCCGACACCTCCGGCATATGGGGCCGGTGCCCTACCCCTTTGAGCCACAGGCACCGCCCATGGCAAGGTTTTCATTGATAATTCCTACCTTGAACATCATAAGCTTACAATAACCTTACAAATACAAGGAGGCTTACAACCTTCATTATGAGTTCAAATATGAATTGACACAGGAAATTCATAGTAAAGGGCATTCAGGTAATTGTATGTAGCAGAGAAATTATCCTAACTTCAAACATACTGGGCCTTGAGAAATTTATCTTTGGTGAAATTATACGAATATATGGTGTGTGCATAGGCTTTTGAAAGGTGTTGAACATCAGAGTGATCATATTTTGGAGAGCAGCTACGCAAGTGCAGTGAATGCATCAAGCCGTTTAGCAATGAGAGGTTCATACTGGATAGGTTCAAATGTAGTGAATCTAGAAAGTTTGCTAATGCAATGTGCATCCTTAGGATTCTTTAAAGAGTTTATACTCAAGAACAGAAGTGCAGTGATATGGTAAACTATTTAACCAATTCTCACAATTTATATTCCACATTGGAGAGTTGATACAAAGAATAAAGAAGTCTCTAGGCTCGGGGCCTGTGGCTCAAGCGGCTAAGGCACCAGCCACATACATCTAAGGTGGAGGGTTCGAATCCAACCCGGACCCGCCAAACAACAATAA